ATTTCTTCTTAGCACTGCACTGTCTGGATGGACGAGCTTATTTATCCGTTCCTCTAATGAAGGATGTCATGGTTGCTTCCAAACTTTTTGGCAGTTACGAATAAAGCAGCCATGCACATCCCCGTGTAGGCAGGCTTCCGTGTGGACATAAGCTTTCAGCTCTTCTGGGTAACAGCGAAGGCGCGTGACTGCTGGATCGTAGGGTCAGAGTAAGCTCAGTTTTGCAAGAAACTGACAAACTGCCCTCCAAAACACCTGTGACGTTTTGCATTCCCACCGCCAGCGAGTGAGAGTTCTTGCGGCTCCACCATCCTTGTCAGTGTTGCGTGTTGCCATTTTGTTTTTGCGATCCAGTCTCCATTTCCCTCGTATTGGCACAGTCACAGGGATGAACTTGCTCATGGTTTTCTTGTGTTATTGTCTGAACTCCCTGGCGTGCTCTCCATGTGGTTTTCCTGCACGCCCATCTTCCTCAAGAGTGTCTGTGCTGAAGGTTTGCAGTTTTGGTAGATTTTACAAAGGCCTGGGTTTTGGTTTTGTTCCCACCTATCGATACTTTCTTCATCATTCCCCTAATTTCTGATCTCAGTTTTTGTAACTATTTTCTCTACATTCCTTAGCATTCTTCATTTGTCATGCTCCTAATTTCCATTTTTCTGCCAAGATTACAAATGGGGTCTTGAACACTTTAAACAATTTTATACCTGCAGTACATGTATTTTTCACTCAATTCTAAATGACTGGTACTTTCATTGTGACTTCCGCTGTAATCCACGAGTGGGGCAAAGGTGTGTTTTAAAGTTTCCATGCACATGTTTATGTGTTTTCGTTTTGAACTTTTTCTGTTGATTTCCAATTTTACTCACTCTGGATCGAAGAATGCAGCTTGCATGAAATAGATTGCTTCAAATTCAGTGCAAAAAAATAAATTTAAAACATAAAATAAAATTTACTGCAGTTTCCCATACGTGGTCGACTTTTTAAAAAGCTACATAGATTTTAGAAAATAATCAAGAGTCTGTTGGGTGCAGGGTTCTATATGTTTCTACTAATCCGGGCCTGTTAATACTGTTACAGATACGATTGGAATGACTCTGACATATTTTGTATTTTCTACCTGACAACCTTTTTTATTTTTCACATCTTGTTTCTCTTCCTTTTCTATTGATGTTGGTTGTTTTTATTAAATATAGATTCCCTTATATCTTTTTCTGCTACATTAGAAACTATGTACGTGTATTGTTTTAGTAATTAGTCAATATTTTAGTTGCAACTAAGATTTTAAAATATGTAACTAAGGGGGCGCCTGGGTGGCTCAGTTGGTTGAGCATCTGACTCTTAGTTTCGGCTCAGGTCAGGACCTCAGGGTCATGAGATCGAGCCCTGTGTCAGGCTCCACGTTTGAGATTCTCTCTCTCCCTCTGCCCCCCACCCCAATAAATAAATAAAATCTTTAGAATACATAACTAAGTGTACATTTTTCTAATGCAGTCTCAAATTGTTTTATATTCTACTTCTCCTGAGTCTTATTATATAATTGCTCATGGAAAAAACCCTAAAATGGTATTATGATATAACCACACAGAGAACAAACCTCAACACACACACACACACACACACACACACACTCTCAGGGTGTCTAATTACCGGAAGTTCACTTTAACCTTCATTTAACAATTCATATGGAATTGACCTTGTGACATGTCGTCCCTTTCTCTGCGCATTACTGTGTCCCCTACTCGCTGCTTTGCAAGGCATTCACGATCTTCTTTCTAAAGTACAACTTTCAATAATCTTTCAGAGAAGGCCGACAGTAACAATTTTCTCAATCTTTGCCTGAAAAAGCTTTCTTTTGCTTTCAGTTCGTGTTGGTGTGAACCTGCAGATGGACAGTTGCTTTCCCTGCAGCGCTTTGAGAACACCCGCGTTAGCCTCTGGCACTTGCTGGGCACGCGTGGGCTGCCCGTCCGAAGGTCGTTCAGGCGATGGGAAGTCTGCATTTTCGCCGCAGACCTTCTCTTTGCCTTGGATTTCTGGAATCTTCCTAGATGCTTCCCAATGTGGATTAGTCTTCCCTTTTTCTCTTGGTTCTTTGAGCCCCCTCTGGGGACTGACTGTCCAGTTCTGGCCAATTCCCACCAGGCTCTCTTCAAATCCCCCCCTTCCATCCCCCCTGCACGCTCCAGGACATGTGAGTGTGTGTGTCCAATGGCCCGCTCGCATTTCCCAGGTCTCTCTGTGCTGTTAGGAGGTGATGCCAACTCATTAATTCTCCTTAGACTGAATCCGGAACTTTGAAAATGCCAATAACTATGTATTTCACTTCTAAAACATGGACTCCAACCCCCCCCCCATCGCCCCACTGCATTTCGGTTTGTCCTTTAGGACACCGTGCTTTCATCCACCTCCCTGAGCAGGACACGCACACTTCCTTCAAAGCCATGGTCAGACCCATCTTCGCTGCATGTGGAAAGCAGCGTTCTGGTGATTCTGGTGGCTGTATTTCTCAGTGTGTGGGGATTTCAGTTTGCAGACTCTTTGGGGGTGGCTTGTGCTCTGCCCCACCCCGGTGTGGGGATGGAGCAGGGCGCTCAGCACCACTGCTGTCTCTCGGAAGGCTGCCTGGGCCCTGCCAGCCGTGCCTGGCTCCCCGATCTGAACTGCCCTCCACTGCTGGTGTCTTCTAGAGCCCGGTGGAAATAAGCATGGGCACTGCTCACTCTCTAAAAACATCTGTCCCGTGGCCCACCTGCATGAGTCCTTCTGTTTTCCCTGTTCTACATGCAATGTGTGCAGAATTATTGAGGATTGGAGGGAAAGGTGTTCGAGGTGACGGGCGGAGACGCATTCACTCGTTCCCTTTGGCCCTGCTTCAGGTGCTGGGACGTGCCCGATTCTCAGCTTCAGCAGCCGGCATGTAACTGGAGCAAGGAAGGGAATCCGCTCTGTTCTGCATGAAGCCCGCTCCACCTTCTGTGCTCAACCCTCACGGCCACTCACCGAGCAGCTGTGAAATCCATGGGATACCTGAATGTACATCTTAGCTTTAAACCTTAAAAAAGCTTTAAGATTTACTTATTTATTTATTTATTTATTAAAATTCTTATTTATTTAACAGAGAGAGAGAGAGAACACAAGCAGGGAAGAAGCAGAGAGAGAAGAAGAAGCAGGTTCCCCGCTGAGCAGGGAGCCCAATGTGGGGCTCGATCCCAGGATCCTGGGATCATGACCTGAGCTGAAGGTGGACACTTAACTGACTGAGCCACCCAGGTGTCCCAAGCGTTAAGCTTTAAAAAGTTCTTTCCATGTAATTTTTTTTCTAACTTTTGGACTAAAGCATCAACATAGATTTTTATATGAACATTACCACCCAAACTTCGATTATTTCAGTTTAAATGAGACCCCTAGTAATCAGTGAAATGTAATCAATTAAAATGTTCCTAAGTTGCAAAGCCAATATTTACAAATCGGGTTTTTTTCTTGTTGCAAGGGCTCTCAAAGATGACCCTAACATTATGCTCGACACAGAAAATCCCAACTGTTTGACACGGCTTCTAACACTTGAGAAAACAGATCTTTGACTTCATGGGAAGCTCCCAGCTCTTATTTTTTGCTAAATTTCAACCTCTTTCTGATTAAGCCATTTTAAAAATCCTATTATCCTAATGCCTTCCAGCTCTAAAGCCTACAATGTATTGTACTTAACCTCTCCAGTAGTCCAAACCATGAGCTGAGCTGTGGGCATTTTTCCTGACCCCTCCCCCCCAGTCAGACTGCTTCCCCTCCCAGGCTGCTCCCTAACCGCCCCCCCCCCTTAACAACGTGTGCACCGTTGGACCTAATTTGCTTTTAACCCCTGTCCTTTCTTTCCCATGATGATCCCATCAGAAATTAATAGAACAGGAATAGAATCATAGCAAGGCAGAGAACTCAAGAGCACAGACACACAAAACTAGCCTGAGTGCAAATATACACACGCCAACATCAAGAGGACTGCACCACGGAGGAGACCCTGACAGGTAACGTCAGGTTCCCCTCATGTTGCATCCTGAGAGAACTCATGTGGAACTGATTCTGAAGTTCTGCTCACTGCGGTTGGCTCACAGAAGAGAAATACAGGTTTCCCCTCACTATTCGGAGCTCAGCGTTCCTGTGAAACCTTTCCTAAGCCGAAACGGTGTAAGACAAAGAAGCAATTACCATTAATTCAGAGGACAAATTTGGGGAGCGTTCCAAGAGCCAAAAACCACCTGTCTCAGCCTCCTCTGATAACGGATGAACAAAAGACCTGGAGATAAACGGCAGGTGCTCACAGCTCTGACGCTGGATGCTGAAATGCTGCACGCAGCTCAGGGGGAAGGAGCTTGGCGAGGCCACCGTCCTGCTCAGCACCCGCTGCCTCTAGAATGGCTCTCTGCAAAAGCAAGGCTGAGTCTTTCTTCCTTCCTTTTTTTTTTTTTTTTTTTGTTTAGTATGTTGTTTATTTGTGAGAGAGAGAGAGAGAGCACAAGCAGGGGGAGCGGCAGGAAGAGGGAGAAGCAGGCTTCCCGCCAAGCAGGGAGCCCAATGCAGGACTCGATCCCAGGACCCTGGGATCATGACCTGAGCCGAAGGCAGATGCTTAACCCAACGAGCCACCCAGGTGTCCCAAAAGCAATGCTGAGTCTTTCTTTCTAAAAGCGGAAATCCTCTGGATTTCTTTAGGTGAGCAAAAAACAGGTACTAAGGTAGGTCTTTCGTGAAAGCAAAGTAGCATGAAACAAACTTTCAAAAAGGAGGGGATGCCTGTATATCAAGATATCGCAACCACGTTTTGTTGCTTTGTTTTGTTTTCTTCTGTTTAAGAATTTGTTTTCCTTACAAGAGGAAAAGAGCCGAGGTCAGAACCTTCTCACGTGAGTGCCAAGAACAGTTTCGCAGAATACAGAGTCCCAGCACTGTGGCAAAGCTGCAGGGGGGGCTCATGGCATCCGTGGCACCACGTTTTTGTCATTCCTTACCCTGGTGATTCGTGAGCCGGTCCGGCGGGGCAGGGAAGCCAGGTCCTGCCAGATCTCGTGGACTGAGGGGGGGCGTCTGTTCCACCTGGTCCTGGAAAAGGCGGGAGCACAAAGGCTTTGGTCAAAGGAAGCACTTCACTCTTGTCCACATCCACCCTCCCCCGCATGTCCTTCTTCTTCAACTTCTTACTTCACTGTATTCACCTTCTTGGTTTTTAAACGTCGGTTGTTTAAAATACACCGGTATCAGGGAAGTTAATCATGGAAAGGGGCCACCTGCTTAGCAAGGGCATCAGAAGAGAAGTTACTCTAGGTCTCTGGCTTAAATTGCTTTGCCTGAATAGCAATTCAAAAAGAATTATTATCAACTGTTGGATTTGAGCACAAAATATAAATAATTAGCATTCCACAGAGCACATGCATTTTCTGCAACAATTACTGGTAATCAAGCCCTAGGCGGTCTGTTATCTGGTACGGAAACATCCAGAGACTGCTTTATAATTGGCCCCCTCTACAAAGCAGAAGGGCCCAGCGGCATTTTTTTTCTTTCTTTCAGACGTCAGGATGAGGACAGAAATTTTAGGCAAAAGTTAAAACAGCAATGTTACAATCAACTCCACAACTCTAGGGAATAAACGTCTTCGTGAAGATTATAATCAAGCCAATGAAAGACAGGTTAAAATGTGGGAAAAGAAAATGGGCCTTTTCATATTTACGCACTTAGAATACTAGCAGGGATTAACGTGGGGTGGAAAGAGGTCAAGTTTCGCTTTCAGATTTGAGAAATTCTGAGATTTTTACACTGCACGTGGATTACCTCCATAATTAGGTCTTAAAACTGTGTCTGCAAGGAACATCTACTATCGGCATAAGGAGCAGGCAACTCGGCGCCTCATCCCTTCCTACGCAAAGGGACCTCTTGGTACCGCCACCTGTCTCAGGTGGAATATTCCCCAAGCTGTGCCGGGCTGGACTCCCAATTTACAGCTGGGGACACTCAGGCACAGGAAGGTTATGTCCACCTTACTGCCCCCTGCCAGGAAGGGGCAGTCCTGGTATTAGAACCCAGGTGGTGGGGTTCAGAGCCCACGTGCCTTCCCACCCACGCAGCCCAAGAAACTCAGAAAAGTTCATTCATTTTGACAAGTCTCTCTGTCACCTGCATGCTCCCCAGCAAGCAAGTGGCTCTCTGTCCAGAGCCTCAGCCTGGGGTTGTAGAAACGGATGGAGGATACTCTACTCCCTCTGCTATGTGAACGCCAACCTGCGTGTGCACATACACGTGGGTCTGGTCCATGCTGTGCGGGGGGGGGGGGGGGGAGAGGGACTGGAGGGGGCGGCACTCGCTAGAGCTGGGGAGGTAGAGACGGGGGCACTGGGGAGAGAGTCCAGAAGGGTCAGCTCCCTGACATCTACCACTCAGCAGAAGGGAGCTCAGTCCCTGAGACCACAGTCACACTTGCCCCCAGAAAATCTGAAGAAAACTGATCCAAGCCCCAAGGTGTGAGAGGGTGTCTTCACTGCTTGTCTCTGTCCAAAAAAATAGCTTCCTTTTTGATTTTTAATCATAGACGTAATACTTGCTAACTCTGAGAACGTAGATGCTAAAGAAAAGCTTAAAGAAAAAACTTCAAATGAACTTCTCTTCTTTCACCCTTGGATGATACCCTATCAGTTTTTGGTCTGTTCTTCCAGAGATGAGAAAAAATGCACCAACGTGGTACGTCTGGGGGCAATGTTTGAATTACTTATGGAGAATGTATAGGTTACATTTGGATCGCGTGGGGGTTACAAGTGATCCTGATTTAAAAAAAAAATGGATTCATAATCAAATGACACATGTTACTGAATTTCAGCCTATCTTTCTGAAATTTCCCACAGCAACAAAGCATCTGCATTAGCACTTCCAAGCCCTGGACCGCTCCACTGGGTGGGCGAGCAGCGTGACTTCGGAACCCATACCCTACCAATGAGCAGGTGGTTAGCGAAGAATGGAAGTTTCTGGTTAGGAAAGAGGAGAGGAGCTGGTTTGCAGGACACGGAGTCCGGAGGCAAGAGCAAACCCACCAGGAGCTCTGCGGAGGTGCTGAGGACGGAGCTGGGTTGTCAGGGTCAGCGCACGAGGTGGCACCTCCCAGACCCCCAAATGCAGTGCAGCACCTCCTTCTGAGGTCACCCCAGCTCGTTTCTGCAATCCTCCATGCAATCGGCTCTTTACCATCCGGGATAAATATTTTTTCCTTCTTTTCCAAGTTTTAAAACAAGCAGGTCAATTTTTGGAAACAGGGCAGACAGAAGTACAATAAAAATGCGCCTGAATCCCCTGACGGTAGGTAGGGTAACTGACGGCACTCTCGGGGACTTAGCACCTCTAGACACCATGGAAATCACACGGTGTGAATGATCCGGGGTCCTGCCTCCCCCTCCCCCATGAGCTTGACAAGATATGGTTTTAAAACCTTGGTATTTTTTTCAGATTCTAAACTACCCTAAGTACACACTTGTAGCCAGTTGCAAGTTTCAGACGGCGTACTAACAATCCGATCAACACCTCTGTGCATAAAACCCTGTCCGCATTTCTGATTATTCCGGATTATCTTCCGGACCCCTGGAAATTGAACCACTAGACCAAAGGTTTCACACGTATTTTTCTCTGAGCTTAGATACATACTGTCAAAATCCTGTTCACACAGTTTACCCTTCCACCCAAAACAGAGAAGAAGTGCCCGTTTCATAATATCTGTGGCAGACTGAGACTGGTGATCTTTCTGGAATTTTTTCTTGCCAATCCCAGAGGTAAACTGTGGCCTCGGCCTGTGGTTTTCAGTGCAGGTCTCAAATACCGAAGCTGACCATTTTCCAGAGCTTCTCAGCCCTTTGTCCTTCTTCTTTTGGACTACTCTCTGATGGGTCAGCGGGACGAGTGCCCGAGGGCACCAGGGCTTTCCAATCAAGCCAAGCCTACCGCCACCCCTCGGGAGCTGAGCCCCCCTTGGGGCCAGTTCTCTGGAGTCTGACTCAACTGACTCATCTGTAAAATGGGTTCGATGACCCCCTCTGGGATTGCTGGAGGCTTTATTTACAACACCAAGTGCAAAGCCAGGGCCCGAGGCCGGGCAAGCACTCGGCCTATGGACGTGGGCTTCCTCCACCCCCTGGAAACTCGTGTTTGTGCCTCCATATTCCTCCAGGATGAGCTCTTGACATGTAAGAAACTGTTTGCTCGTGTCTGTTGCAAATGCTTTTCCCAGCTTGTCTATCTGCAGTCTTAACTAAACTTTTGATTCTCAAAAGTGTAACTCAACGTAGGCAAGTTTACTGAACTTTCCTTCCCGGTTCATCGTGGCAAGATTGATGACTGCCTTCATCCTCTCTCCAGGAAACTGGAGAGCGTCCGTGTATGTTTTATTCTGGTCTCTTTTCGACATGACGTATTCCTCGCTCATCTCGCTGACATTTATACTGGTGGACGGGGAAGAGGTGAGACCATTACCTGGCCCCCCGTTCACTCTGCCCTTTCTGCCTGAGCCTGAAGGTCACCTTCATCCCACCTTATAATCTCCAAACCCACGCGTGTCTGAGCCTCGGCCACACTCGTGCGTGGGTCCCACGGATCTGCCCGTCCCGAAGCCATGGCCACGCTCTCCATCTTCACGGCTTCTGACACATTTTCGTTGGCACCCACTTCCCCCTTGCTTCTTTTGCATGGATCCCTCTTCCTCGAATTGTCTCAAGGTTTGCTTAAATTATTAAAACTTCTCTTCTGGCGTATTTCCTTACATATAAGTGAGCAATTACTACCCATTATGGACATGGATGCTGGTTGTAGACCATCTGGTTGAAATCAAATGGCACGTACATCAGCAGAGTATAAACCAAGGGTCCAGCCTCCCTGTGCCTCAGGCCCCACCCAGCCTGTCTCTCTGGGAACAGACAAGCCCCCGGGGTGTCTCCTGCGCAGGCTCAAGTCCAAATCCGAGACCCCGTCGCCCCCTCCACGTGCCACCGTCCCTAAGCACTCCTCTCGTCAGTGGCAAGCAGACCTGACCCCACAGAGACATTGATTTAGAAGACAAGGACCTTCCAAACCTAATTTAGGCAACCTTGTCACCAGATTTAGCAAATGCAAATACAGGCTGTCCAGCAAAACCTGAGTTGCAGATAGACAAACTAACCACTTTTGGGTCTAAGTCAGTCTCAGGCATTGCATGGGACTTGTCCAAAAAAACATTTTTGTGGTTTATCTGAATTTAACTGGGCATCCTATACTTCATCAGGCAGCTCTGTACCTCAAGGACCGTTCAAAATCCGACAGGTTTGCGTGACAAATTACAGCGGTAAGAACAAAATCTCGATGCGTGGCTCGTTTGTTCGCATATAAGACTCCCAAGTCAAAAAAAAAAAAAAAAAGTACTTTAAAGAATTCAACAGGTGGAAGCTTCAGACAAGAATCCTATTATCCTGGGGGCGCCTGGGTGGCTCAGTCGTTAAGCGTCTGCCTTCGGCTCAGGTCATGATCCCAGGGTCCTGGGATCGAGCCCCGCATCAGGCTCTCTGCTCAGCAGGAAGCCTGCTTCTCCCTCTCCCACTCCTTCCTTGTGTTCCCTCTCTCGCTGTCTCTCTCTCTGTCAAGTAAATAAATAAAATCTTTAAAAAAAAAAAAAAAAGAATCCTATTATCCTGGGAAGTGAGAAAGGACGCAATAGTAGGAAACTGCTAGTGTTTGTAAAATAAAGCCCGGGGAGAAGCAAACCACCAGTGCAGGGGAAGGTCAGGCGCAACTGTCCCTCTTGAAAGGCAAACAATGGCACTCGGCCAGGCTCAGGGTCACGAAAACTGGGACAGGAGTAACATGCCTGTCCCTATGCCGGCGTGGTCTCCCGGGGCTCTTTTTTGTTTGTCCGGGTGGGTTTCCTGTTCCAGGTTAGTGAGCCTCCCCGTAGGGTCAGGAGCAGCCCTATGGAGCGTCCTCCTCTGCAGGAGGCCTGGGGCCTCGCTGGGGGCCTGGGGGGTGGGGGTCCAGGATTCTTCTCCAAGGTGGCTGCTCGCTGCTAAGGCTGCTGTAAACCAGAGCCCTTCATTGCTGGGCTG